CGGCAACGAAAAGCGCCATCACCAAAGCCGCAACAAAAGCCCTCACGAAGCTGATCTGTGCCATTTCTGGAAGCTAAACGGACGAATGGAAGATGGACCGACGACGGGCGAGAGGATTTCTTCTTTGCTCTGAGAGAGGAGAGGAGATGTTGTGAGGAAAGAAAGATGCTAGATCCCTCAGCCGATCTGGTTAGGAAGGAAAGATGCTAGATCCCTTAGCCGATCTGGGTAGGAAAGAAAAAAAGAAAGAGAAAGAAAGAAGGGGACGAAGAGGGGTTGAGAGTTGAGGGTAATAATGTAATTTTATGTTTAAATTAAAATATAAATATTTATTTACATTTTTATTTATCTATATAACATAATTATAATATATATAATTATCATGTCATCAAAAAAATTAAAAGAAAATGTTAAATGGAATTATTTAATTGACACGTCATGTTTAACTGAGGGAAGAATCAAAATTGTGTAATTTTTAGAGTTAAAAAATCAAAAAAGTGAAAAGAATAATATGAGGATAAAAAAAATGTAAACTTATAAAGTTGAGGGATCAAATTTAGCATTTAACCTTTTCTTTTTCTTTTTCCCGCACGTGGAGGGTGACGTGGAGGGTATCCTTAAGTCCACATCAGCTGTTCCCGTTAAGTTAACGTGCCACGTGGGCAAAAATTAACGGAAGGACCAAAAAGGGGCCGGATTTGTGAACAGTAAGGACCAAAAAAGGAATTTTTTCGGTACAAGGATCAAAAAAGGGCTTTTTCCTATAGTAGAGGGACCAAAAAGGGTATTTAACCAAAAAACATGCAAAGGCGTGCAGGACCTACAGGTGCAACGCCACCACGGAAGCCGATGACAAACTTCGTCAAGAAGTCATTAACGGTGTTTGTTAGATTTGACGGTAGTTAGTTTTCCGTCCAATTGTGACCTTATTTGAGAATTTCGTAGAGTTCGGGACCTTAATTGAGTGCAATTGAAGTTTGGGTCCAACATTGCGAATTTTGTATAAGTTTGGGTCCTTATGTCATATTTATGCCTAAATTTTTAACTTAGTCTATTTAATGATGCCAATTTTGAGTTTTTTTTTATTTAAGAATTAATTAGATGATGATGTTGATATGATAAATTTAGAATTGGCTTCTTTAAATGAAAAACAAAGACAAAGTTGACATATTTAAATAAAAAAAATTAAAAATTTATTGCTTAATTAAAAATCAACAAAATTTACATTTTTAAATAGAAAAAATTATAAAGTTGACATTTTTATTTACTCATTATGTTAAAAGTTAGGGAAAAACATTTTCGTTTCAAATAGCATGGAAAAAAAGTTTAAGAATTAGGAATTGCGTTAGGAAAAATAAAAGCTAAAATGCCAATTTTTAGCCTCCTTTTTTTTTTTAGAATTAATTTGTAGAAATACATAAATAAGCTTATAAGGGAGAAAGTTTTGAAACATATGGGGAAAGTTAATGTGTTTTGTAGTAAAGTTTTATTAGAATTTTGTAGGTTGTTAACTTTTCTGTATTTAATAAGAAATTAATACAAAAAAAGTTGATAGAAAAGTTATGAAGTGGCTCCAGATAACCAAAGTTGAGGAGAAAAAGCACAAATAAGGATATCAACTTTACAGTTTTTTCTATTTAAAAATGCAATTTTCATTGATTCCTAAGAAAGGCAATGAATTATTAATTTTTCTCATTTAAAGATGCCAAATTTGTATTTTTTTTCTATTTAAAAATTATTTAGATGATGTTGCTAACATTACAAACAAAAAATTAGTATCCTTAAATATCCTTAAATAGAAAAATGACAAAGATGACATTTAAATTTAGTTATCTACTTTTTCTTTTTAAAATATTATTGCACGGCTTTATTTCTGTTTTATTTTCATAGACAATTACAACCTATATTAAATAAGAAAACTTATTTAAGTTGTGATTAGTTAGGGATATAAATATGAAATTTTATCAATTAATTATTACATCCCTTATGGACAAAAAAAAAAAAGATTTACTAAAATTGAATGAGGAAAACACTACTTTTTTTTATTGAACGAAAAAATGAAGCCTGTAAAAGTTAAAGGGAGGGAGTACAAAGTTTAAGTAACTTTTATTTTGAAAATTAGAAATTCAAGGGACCATATGGAAATTAACCTATTTCAATGGCATTGACTGACGAAGACTAACGGCCACCGTCAGTTAAGGGCTGATTTTTAACTCTTGATTTGTTTGAGGGCTGGT